GCGAGCAGGACGAGGGGCATCACGAGCGAGAGCAGGGGAAAGTGGAGAAAGAGGAGAAAGAGAAGGAGGAGATGGAGAACGAGAAGGCGGAGAAGGATACCGAAACGGAACTTGAGGATAAGAAGGATGGAGAGATCTGTTTGCCCCTCCTCTCTCTCATCACAGCCAGCTGGTCCATCCCAGCCGCCATCATCGCTTGCATCTCTTCGTCATAGGCAGCTCGGGGATCTCGTTATCCTGCGGAGGGTGCCCCTCCTCCTCCCCCTCCTCCCCCCCCTCCTCATCCCCCCCTCGCGATTTTTCAGCTCGCTGCAGGGTTAGGGGGCGCCTGTCCAGATTCCTGGCGGCGCCGCGGCGTCGTCATGATCAGGAATTGGACCCCGAGTGGCCCTCATTTCCATCGTCCTTTTTGCGATCCCAGTGCGCAAACATGATGCGCAGCTGGCGGCTCTGAAGGTACCTCAGATCGGAACTCTTCAACGCGAGGCCCCCCTAATCTCCTCGGGCCTCTGTGGCCCCAGGGGCCCGACCGACGCGAGCACCACCCTCCTTCCCTTTCGTTTCCTGGGCCCCATTGGCCCGGACAGCGCGATATCCTTCCCGAGATCCTCTTCTTCTCAGGCATTGTTCGGGTAGCCCGATCCACACCTAGCACCCCATACTCACCTCGCGTTTTTCTGACCCGAGAGGTCCGGACAGCACAGCCACCTGAGGTTGTTATGTGTCCAGGGGCCCGACCAGCACGATGTTCTACCCCTCCCCTCCTTACAAGTTAGCCCCTCCTCTTCTATCCTCTCCTCGATCTCCTTCAGGGGCCCGACGCCCCTTTCCTCCACTCGCGAAAGCGATGTCTGACACAACCCCTCCCCCAAAGCCCGTTCGGGCAGAGGCCCCAGGCCCCGCGAAACATCTCGCCGCGATGTCCGAAGCCGACCCTTCACAACAACACCCCGACCTCGTTCAATTTGTTCGGGCATCAGGCCCCATCAACACGAGCACCCCCCCTTTCCTTGCGTTTTCCTGGCCCCAGCGAATCAGCGCGATTGCATGTGTGTTCCTCCTTGCGCTTCCTGAACCTAGGAGTCCGAACATACGTTCGCCCCCCCCCCCCCCTCCCTGCAGTTTTTCTGACGCCCGAGGCTCCGAAGCGCGAACGTCGCCCCTTCTCATTGGTTCATCGCGGGCCCCAGGGGCCCGATGAGATGGATAAGTTGGGCGGCGGTGCGGGGTGGATCCTCGAGTGATCTCCACCTCGCCCCTATCCTCCTTATCCTTCTCCTCCTCATGGGCGGCTTGATGGCGCCCACCATCGTCTTCGGGGGAAAGCGGCCTTTCTCCAACTTGCATTTCTCGCGCAACACCGGGCCGAACGCGAGCTGCCACGCCGCCTGCGGGGATGGAGGAGCACGCGCAAAAGGCGAAGGGGCAGAGGGATAGAAGAACCAGAACACGTGGATACATCAGGAGCTACAGACATGCAACTGGGCCTCCACCGATCCTTCCCTCATCGATCCTCCGACCCTTCCCTGGCTCATGGAGCCTCCATCCTCCGATCCTTCCCTCATCGATCCTCCGAGATCCTTCCTTCATCGAGCCTCTTCGTGATCGCATCTAGCGC